TTATTTTCACGATAATGATAATAGTTCCATTTTTTTTATAATTTACGATGTGCAACATCGTCTTGATGGTGAAGAGTACATTGCTGGTATTGATGAATTTATGGAGGCTGTGTTCACACGTTGGCCCCACGTGATAGTGCATGTAATCTTTTCCATCAGGAAAGTGTTTTAAATTGTTTTTCAAATAGGGAAGTGATATTGCCACAGAAACTTTAATTACTTCCACTGGAAAATAATACTGATTGACAATTTTGCCCTTCTTACTTGAGAGAGAAATACCAATGTTTCTCTAAAAAACACAAGATCTTCAAGCTGAATATCAGAATGGGATTTGGACCTACGAAATTCTCACCTTAAAACAAAAAACGAGTATTTTACATAACAGAGCTAACATCACTCAGACGTCAATTCTCGCCGAGGCGTTGAGGTCCAACTGGACGTCGCCGGAGGAGTACAAACATATCCCGAAACGGACTTGCACTCGAATGGTGTAACTCACTAGTAGTTGCCCGTCTTCGTCATAAATAGATTACACCGGAGAAATACAGGGGCTGATATTTATCCCTATCAGTATCTCCTTCCGTCAGCCCGTCGCCTCCGTGCTCACCTCCTTCTTCTCATGTTCTCTTCATCCGATGGCGCAACTTGATCGCTTGTTTGCTTATGTGGGAAATTAGTTTCTTCGGCATCCCCAAATAGATCTTTGTATTGTTGTTCAACTTTTTCGAAGCTATAATCGTTTGCTTAGCATAGAGAAGCAGCATAGATGTTATCGATTGCAAAACGCCGGTGAACATATGCTTAGCCTTGACATCGCTGGAGCTTGCGTCGTCGTTACCGGGTTTGCTCGCCATGTCGGAGGAAGGGCTGTGATTTGATTCCAATACGAGGAGGATGAGGGAATACATATAGGGAGGTGATATTGCCATTGCAACAAACGAATAAAAAGGGCTACATGGTGGTAAAGTTTGAACCTTAATATGGGAAATACAAAAATCAATCAAATCCAATCCTTTTGTCGCCATGGCTGTGACGAAAGGTAGTTTATTTATGTATTATGACGAGGTCTCCTTGCTTTGAGTGATATAAAGTGGTCTTCCAGATATGGGATGCTTATTTGAAAACAGAAGCTACTAAGGTTCATTTGTTTTCAATTCTTAATTTGTATGATCACGCTCTGAAACTCCAAACGATTCCTCCATGGGATGTGAGATTATGGTGGAATACAAAGATGTTTTGAAAATATAATTTTCTTTCAATAAAAAAATACTATTTTATAGGAGTAGTTATTATCCTGGATTTATGGTGTGCGTTTTGAAAAACTAAAACAGGTTGCTTTCTTTTAAGTAAATAGGGGCAAAACTGTCAATTCATATGTTTTCAGTGGAACTATCAAAAATTGCCGTGGCAATATCACCACCCTTTTCAATAATGTTAATAAAAATGGATTCTTGTGGGACAATGAACAATAAGTAATTTTAAAATCTTGTAATCACCAATTTCAAATTGTGATATGTACTTTAATTAAATTTACCAACTGAATTGTACCTTTGATCTACGCTACAATAACGAATGTTAGATTAACTTTTATAGTAAGTTACAAAAATGGTCCTGTGTTTTTGAACTTTATCGTATTTAGTCCAAAATCGAAACCTTTTCCAGTTTTGGTCCTGATTTCAATGTTTCATATCGATTTTGATCCCTGGAACCTAGAAATAAGGACTAAAATGGATATAAAACCTTAAAATAAGGAGCAAAATCAGAAGTTCTATATACCAAAATTGATATGGAACTCTTGAAATAAGGACAGAAATTGAAAATGTTTCAGTTTTGAACTAAACGTGGTAAAAATATCAGTGGTGAAGATATTGCAATAAGTTTATGGAAAGAATTCACCAGCACAGCTTGCAAATCCGTTGTGCATTTTAATTCCAGCACCACAGCGCCAACGGCGCACTGATTCCATTCTAGTTAAAAACAAAAGATAAAAATTTAACCACGACTTGCGAGTTGCCACATGGCAAATTGGCTACCTCTTTTCTCTTGATCGTGACCAAGATATATTTTTATTTTTCCTTTTTACAATTTGGGCAATCATTGTCCTATTTTCAGCATAGTCTTTATTTTTATTGTGAAAAATCTAGTTTATCATCAAATTTTACACTCTAAAACAAAAAGGCCGAGTTCGAAGTTACTAATCAACGATTTTCTACTTTTCAATAATTTTTATGCCCCTGTAACAACCTCATCAAAGAAAACTTTGACACCCACAAAACACGGTGATCTTAAGATTAGAAGAGACTGTAGACCAAACTGTATATATTGCACGAGATCGTCTGTGGTATTTGTGGTCACGAACTACGATCGTGCACACCGTCCCGGTGTGTCGTCATGAGTTGTGGGCATGGCGATTCGTAATAGCTACGACTATGGTACACGACCAATAGAAACAAGGCTGCCAATTCGACCGTCTCATCAGTCTTTTTTTGAATTTTTAATTTTTTTTTTTTACAAACTCATTACTTTATAAACACAATACATAGCCCTCACATTTCATCAAATTTTACACTCTAAAACAAAAATACATGGATTTTTTAAAAGTTTGACTCGGATGATGACGGTGAATTCATTTCGACCTTCTTCAACGTTGTGGCAACATATTCACGATGGAGAAAGTCGAATGTTTGTGCGTTCAAGAGCGGTTTCAATCGTGATCGCAAGCCGCACACGACTTATTGGTACGTGATGATCTGCTGATAATTGTTTTTACAATGATGACTCGTTCGAATGTCATTTCCATCTAAATAAGGCTATATTTTTACGTATTCGTATGAATGTTTTAGAGGTCCGTTATGATTTTTTTAAACAAAAACCTGATGCTAGAGGAAGAATGAGTTTTTCTAGTGTACAAAAATGTACGGTTGCACTTAGGTATTTGAGATACGGTATAGCATTTGAATGATTAATGATGCATTCGACGAGTAGTTAAAGGTATCCGAAAGGACCGCAATGATTATCTAGATTGATTTTGTGCATATGTGTATGAGGTTTTTCACAGAGAATATTTGCGCAAATCTACTCCTCGTGATATTGAGAGATTATATTTGGCTCATGAAGAGAGACATGAATTTTCGGGTATGCTTGGTAGTCTAGATTGTATGCATGTGGTTTGGAAAAAAATGTCCAAATGTGTGGCGAGGTGATATAGGTGAGCCAACTATAATACTAGAAGCTGCTGCATCTCAGGATTTGTGGATATGACATTCGTTTTCTGGAGTTGCAGGGTCTAACAACGACATTAATGTTCTTGGTCAGTCTCCTCTTTTCAACGATATATTGACCAGCAAAGCACCTAATATGTCCGTTCACGGTGAACGGGCATTCATACAAATACAATTACTACCTTTGTGATGGGATATACCCTAATTATTCTACATTTATGAAGTCATACTCGGTTCCTTGAAGTGAAAAGGCAAATTTGTTCACAAAAAGGCAGGAATCAGCGAGAAATGATATCGAGAGGGCATTTGGAGTCCTCAAGCAAACATGGAATGTAGTGAAACCGCTACATAACTTTGGGATAAAGATAGAATTAAACAAATGGTCGAAACATGTATTATAATGCATAATATGATTATTGAAGATCAATGTCAAGCGATTTGCACATATTATCCGGACGACGTTGTCATCCCGATTGAAGAACTCATACCCAGAACGCTTGAATTTTTAACACGAGTTGTTGAAATTCATAACAGTGAAACGAGTTTGAATCTTCAAAAAGATGCAGCGGAGCATTTATATCAACTTAACATGAAAGAAGATTAGTTTTTTTTTATGTTTGTTTTTTTATTCTAGGTTATTTAAGTATTATAGTTTTTAATATTAATGTAATGTTTCTTTATTATTGAATGAAAAACTATTTTTTTTTTTTAATTTTGAAGTTGTATTTTTATTGTATTTTTGAATTAAAAAAATAAAAAAAAAAATTATTTGGGGTGGAATGATAGTGGTGGGTATCCTATAGGTTTAATAGTAGTTATTGGTGATGATGTGACACTCCCCACTATAATAGTTCGTGGTGGGTATAAGGTTGGTGGGCATGGGCTCAGAGTACATGTCAAGGAGGGCATTAGTTCATGATTTGAGACGCATCATGTTCTTCGTAGGAACTTGACAGAACATATTTGGAACGTCGACCACATCGATCTTAACGTAGAACCGGTCGACGATTTGGAAGGTCAATTTTCCGATGAAGATATCATTTAGGTCTATCTAGGTTTGGTAATTTTAGTTTCTACGTTTTTAATTTTAAATTCTTTTTTTTTTTTTGAATTTGTTGTTTTTTCTTAATTTCTATGTTTTTATTTTAAGTTTAATGAATTTTTAGTTTTAAAAAAATGTTACATTTGAAATATTTATTTTGTATATTAAAAAAAAAACAACATGACAATAATGGCGACCAGCCCCTAGCAAATGACAAAATTTTGGCTAAAATAAGCAAGTATAACATAGCGCCTAGGTGGATCACCACACTCACTAGCCTAACGGCTTAAGCTGTGAAGGAAACCATCACTATTTAATTGGTGGCGTTATTAATTGGTGTTGTTAAGACATTATAGGTTATCTATTTCCAAAATTGAAGTTTAGTTCTGCTTATGAAATGGCGTTTTCGTTTTCTATCCTTAAGTGACTATATAACAAATAAGCACTTTGTGTATCACTACCTTCAATATGTTACGTAGGAGTTTTTCTTTCCATGGCATGGCCGTTAGATTACAAGAAAAATAAAAGCAAAACAAGATCACCAAATCAAAAGAGACCCTTTTAAGCGTTATTTCGAATCAATTAACCAGGAGTCTCCCAAGGGTCCAAATGGATTATATATATCTAATTACCAACAAAATAACATCTAAAACACAATATTTAGATTCCAATTCCGATTCCGATTCCGATTCCGTTTCTGATTCCGGTTCCGATTACCCTATTACAAAACCACCTACTCAAATGCTGATGCCGGCAGACCCGCAGGATCAAGCTCATACGACCCCTTCGGAACACCTTCCCGTTCTTCCCCACTCATCCTACAAGACGGAACCAAATGCGAAAATCTATACTTATCACGCTCCGGAATCACCATCTCCCCATCCTCTTTCCGGCCAAAAAGACATCGGAATCCAGCCAACTTCACCAAATACGAAACCCGAAACCCAATACCCTCATCATAATTTGATAAAACCTCAACAAACTCGTATTCATACTTTCCGGTTCCATCATTAGACCAGTTTATATTCCAGTCTTTAAATAGGGCCCACGTCTCGCCTTTTCTCGGAACTATATTGAAAATTCCCTTTTTACCCTCCTCCCAAGTCACCAAATGTGAAAACATCGGAAGATCTTCCGCTTTATCGGTTTTCCCGCGTTTAAAATTCCCGCAAGAAACAGGCAATTCTTCCTCAACCCAATTCGTTTCATCATCGGTTTCTGGAACCGGTTTCAGCCATGTGATTTGTAGGCTAAAACCCGGCGATTGAACCTTCCGGATATAAGCATAGAACCTGGGCATCGCATCCTCGGTATCATAAAGCGCCCATATCTGCCCAGGGGTAAAACTGTCTTCTTTTCTGTCTTTTTCAAAGTCGTTAAACTCCGGATCAGGACACTCAAAAACTTCCGGATCCGATTCCGGTTCATCTTCTGCTTCCGGTTCCGGTTCCGATTCTGATTCCAGGTCCTCAACATCGCCTTTCTTACCATCGGAATTAGAATGAGATTCTTGATTTTGACTTTCTTTGACCGGTTCCCGAACCTCCGCTTCCCAAAACATATCTTCGGGTTTCGGTTTTGCAGTACCCGAGTGTGGGGCCCGCTTTTTTGACGGAGCGGCCTCGTCATCATGATCATGATCGTGATCATTATCATTTACATTTTCTTTATACGATACGTTTCTTTTCGGGCGTGCGTGCGGATCTCCGAGGCTGTTCACCAACACGTCCAGAATCTTGATTTTTTTCAGGGGCATTTTCGTCCGATTCCGTGCTGTTTTCATCTCCGGAATCTTCATCTTCATCTTCCTCAGAGCTGCTCGTACCGTTGTCAGAACTTTCACTCGATTCGTCCACCTTCTTTTTCCGTTTCTTGTTCACATTTTGCGTCTCGGTTGGTTTTGATTTGGATTTGGTTGGAACCGGAACCGAGTCGGAATCGGAGTCGGAACCGGAATCGTATTCCGTTGTGGAACCGAAGGCGGAGGAGCATGTATGTTCAATTCATAAGCCGTGAAAGCCTTCTTACAAGTTTGACAATGAACCGGTTTATTCAAAACATCATCTCGATAAAACTGATACCGAACCGAACAAAACGGGCAAACCGTCCAAAACGTTAACCGGACCGCACTACCCCCGGGCTTCGCGCGCTGAAACTGAAAGCTCCCGGTCCCGGGACCAGAACCGGAACGCCCTCCGGTGAAATTATCCCTGCAAAATTACCAGAATGCCCTTGCGGAAAAAAACTGGATTCCATGAATGTTGTGGTTGTCGGACAACCGGCTGCTGTCGTGGTGCCCAATTTGTGGTGGAAAAAGCTCTTCGTTTGTTATCGTGTAATGTTCGTTTTTCAGGGTCTAAAAGGACTCTTTGGGCTTCACCGATTAATTTAAAGGCGTCTGTCGACCCCGAAATTGTTTTTTATCAGGGTGAAGGACTAAGGCTAATTTTCGGTATTGTTTTTTGATTGATAAATCATCGGATGAAGGGTCGATTTTGAGAATTGAATACCAGTCTTTATCGGATCCGAATGATTTTTTTTCTGATGAAATGTGGACTTCACATACTAAAATTAATTGGGAGATGTTTTCGAGTTCGGGGTAAAGTTGTTGGGCTTTTTGGGCGATTTTTAATGCGGCTGAAAACTCTTTGTTTTCCATTTTTTTCTCTGCTATTTGTTTGGCACGTAACGCTTCTTCTCTGTTGGCATCCATCACAGCGAATGCCTGAAATAAAAACTTCAATTAATAAAATTTTAAAAAGTAAATATATATATATATATATATAATATATATATATATATCTAGAAAACGGGAATTTTCAGCTGATTCTGGTTTTGGTTGGTTTTTTGGGTCATGTGTAATGTACATATTGATTCTAAACTATTAGATTTGACTAAGCGAGTATGGAATGGAATAGATAGAGGAATGGAATAAGTTATTACATTCCATGATTAAGTGTGGTTGTGACTTGTGGTCTGTAGAAATGAAAGGAATTTTCATTTAAAAACATTTATGTTATTTGTGAACAGAATGTAGAGTTTTATCTCTACTTTGTAAATGAATAAATTATAATTACGGATTTTTTGTTTACAAAGATGACAAGTTAACCATAGTAGTAGACACTCATTCAACCCCCCAAATAATTTATAAATAAAAGAAACTTTTTAGCTGCTTTAGAAATAAAATTAATGATTTTATTAGATCGGTGAAAAACGGTCATGAAAATTAACCTACGTAAAGATGAGTTATATGGCAAATTTTCGCTCCATTCAATGAGCAAAGGAGAAAAAAATATAGCCAGTGATTAAGGAATGAAAATTAACAAAATGGAAGGAATCACATCTTTCAAGATTGGTTCATTCTATTAAGTTATGTGTATATGAATATACATTATGTATACATGTATATGTAATTATGTATTACATATACGCATATATGATACCATTTTCTCAACACTACTAAATTTTACATGAACAGCTTGAAGAACATGATACATGTCCATCAATGTAATTATTTCATGAATTACACTATAATACAAGCTTTTCTAAGCTTGTTTTATAACAAAAAAGTAATGACATTAGAATTACATAATAATATGATATCATTACCTCAAATGACACAGACTGAGTTTGTCATGGAAGGAGTTGGTTGATGTAAAAAGAGCTTCCAAGTTCCAGCTGCAAAAGAGGCACCATAGAGCCGCATACAAAGTTTTGCACCACTCTATCAACACAAAAATATCTAAATTTAAAGTCAAAATACCGAAATTCATATGAGATATAATAAGCAGGTTGATTGTTGACCACTCAATTTGAGTATGTAATGACAAATGACAGAATTGCCCTTTATTGATTTCTTGTTCATAAAACTTCTCTTGACTATTTGTAAAAGTATGCAAAGTAATGTTTTATGAATTTCTTGTTAACATATTAGTAAACATAAATTTATTCATACACAACAACAAACTCCGAAACAATTAATAAACGATAAATTACATAATCCAATAACCAAAAGAAGAAAGCAATACGACATGTTAAAAAGGTTGAAAAGGGTAGTTCAGTCATTTGTGCAAATAGGGGAGGATCAAGATTGAATCCCATGAGTTTATGGAGGGAAATTTGTATACGATTATGGATATAAGATTTTGTGAATTTGAACAGAACTCAATTCTTTACTAAAAGATGCAAACTTCCTCTGTTTTATAATTTAGTAGTTAGTACAAATTGAGAAAACTCATTTAGGTACAAAATTTGTATGTACATATTCGACATAAAACAATAAATCCCAAAAAGTATACAAGGGTACAATCAATAGTAAAAAGACTAAAAGCAAAGATGTCTACAGCTTCTTCTGAAACACAAAAGAAATGGCATGTCGATTTGAGAGAATGTGAAAATAAACATATTTCGGTGTGATACTGAAATTAAAAATATCAAATTTGATTAAAAATGTATAGAGTTGAAGTATGGTTTTATAGAGATCATTTATTCTTCTAATATAAATACATGATCCGGAGATGATTTGCATATTTTCAAATAACTACTTAAACAAAACAGTGTGAAGCCTACTTATTATATTCCTATAATAAAAGAGTTAGCCTACATTAAATGTGAAGTGTCACCTTTACAATAAGTTTTTATCACCAATTATATCTAATGCACAAATAATCTCTATCTAAAACAACTAATGCAGGATATTAAAACAGTAGATATGATTTGAAAAGTAAGAATTTTAAAGTAGGCTATAAATTGTTTAAAACAAAGATTTTTGTAAGAGTAGGCTGATTCTTGGAAATGAAGAACTTCGAACATGTATAAACAAGTCTTTAAGTTATGAACAAATCAGAATTTCAGAAAAAGGGCGTTGATAGAGGATTAAAACACTTCCATTCTACAACTTGAAAAAGAATACTAGTTTTATCAATCAAAAACAGAAGTTCGATAAAACACAACATTTAGAAGTATTAACCATCTCAAATCATGAAATTCAGTCTAACCTTAATATAATGGTAACTATTTTTAAAAAAAAAAAAAAATGTATACACGCAATAAACAAAGAAGGAATATTTTTTATGTTAATTTAGAGAAAGTAGGATCATTTTGTCAATGTGATAAAACCATGCCCCCAAGGCTAGTTCGGCTCCCACATTAATCATTTTGAAGTCCATACTTGTCAATATACAAATTTGACAAGTGTTTATCATGGTGTTAGTAGATATAGCATAACATTCAGTTTTAACTTTCTTTAATAAAAAAATGTGGATTGAAGTACTGAAAGAATGATATGTACAACAAAAATCCTCAATAGACACAAATTTGGTAAAAAGATATACGTTAAAATGGCCACTAAAGATTCCTAGTTGATATTTCTTTCATTAATCCAATCAAATTGTACAACTCGTACCATGAATTGTTCTTTAAGGACACTCATCATTAGATTATAATTTCACAGCTACATCATCAATCATACAACTATTCATATACCCAGGATTGGTAAAACTGCCAACCACAAGTAGATAACAGAATAACAAATTTTTGAAAATAAATGTGCATACTTTTGGGCCCAAAAGACTTAAACTCCTCCGCAAGCCTTGAAATTTAAGAATAGAAAGACAAAAGGAAGCATCAGTTCCAGAAGCGTTAAGCTTAAAGTCGCTAACCACATGCTTTGTTTCAAGTAAGGTAGCTATAAGATTTTAACCAACCATTTCATGACAAGATGCGTCTTTTGAAGCTATATATTGGTCCATTCGGGTTTTGGAATTACCAAACTCAACGGTTAAACTTTCATGGGACGTAGCGAATAGTTTACAGAAGAAAGGTTTGAAAGATGATGAGGCGTCTACTAAGCTACTCAACAAGGCAAACAAACAATCTAACTTTAAGAATCTCGAAAACCCTAGAAAAGATTGCTCAGATATAAAGGGAATTAGGGTAACCAAAAGTTGGACAACAAGAATAATTACAAGGAAAAACAGCGAACAATCATTAGTGAACGGATTAACCAACAACTTTTACCTCTTCCTGTTAAACACGACCGATGGAATTGAAGATTCAAAGAATGAGACCGAGTAGTGACAGCAGGCGAACTGAGTGCGCCCCCAGAAAGATGAGTTTTCACCTTTTACGAGAAGGAAAAACGGTCAATGGGTCATGGGTGCCTCTTGCTGTAAAAAGACAGTTTGGATGGGCTAGGCCCCCAACAGGCCCATGCAAGACTACTTCAATTTTAAGGCCCATCTCACAAAAGTAAATTGAAATACTATTGAATTTTATGGGATCGGAACATTGGTTAATTTTATTTGCTAATGTTTTAGAGAAATTAAATATATTCCTACTTTTTGTTTCTAAAAATCTTTCTATCCAATAAAATAGTGATATGTGTAACATTTAATGTTAATTTAAAGATATTTTAATATACTATTATAGGAACAAAAGTGGGAGGATATTTAATTTATCAATGTTTTATATCAAGTTGTTTGTTGTCTAAAGATTTTGGACAAGAGGCTCATGTTCTAACACGTGGTTTTCACATTTGAGATATAAAAACAAATGTTTATAAAATATTTATTGCATTTAGTTGAAATGATCAAAATGAAAGTTATAGTAAGCGTCAATACGAACGCATGAATATAAAGAGCATCAAAAACGAATTTCATATGTAAATTTTATGATTTTTACAAGTTCCAACGAATTTTATAAAATTCGCGGTGCGGGGGATTTGTCGTGTGCGGAGGAATTTTATAAAGTCTGTATGTAAAAGTCATGAAGTCTGTCTGGAAGCGGACCGCGGCACAGCCAATGTTTACCGTGGCCAAATTTGGCCCTATAAATAGAGCCCCCCCCCCCCCCCCCCCCACTATTTTCTTTTCTTTGCCCCTTTCCCTTCAATCTCTCTTTCTTTCTCCCTCTCAAGAACTCAGTCGTTCGTGATTTAATTTCTCGTTCTGTAGTACGGTAGTGAAGCGCTGAAAGTTTCGGAAGGATCCTTAAGAGAAGGATCAAGCTTTGAAGTTACATTCGTCGTTTTCCTAGTTATTCATCAATCAGGTAAATTACACTTTCGCTTAAGTATAACTTGTTATATAGTATACCTATTGTCGTTATTATGAACCGTGTATTAGATTAATCATTAATTATAATTATTATATTGATTGATCTACTTACGGGAGCGGGTGTCTAGTATAGACATGTTGGTATGGTTGTTGGATTTCAGAAAGGTTAAATGTCGAAATGATCCTGCCTTCCGATGGTCTTGACCGACTAATACTTATTTGGTAGTCATTTTAATATTAATGGGATTGATGAAGGATCTAGATATTGGTCTTTCTATTCCATAGATATTGATCATTTATATTATTATAGGTTAATACATGTTTGGCGCATTTGCTCGCCAATTGGAATGATGATAGTTGTCCGAGCACTCTTCAAGTGAGTTTTCTCACTATACTATATATTACATTATGTATCCTCTGTATGTTAGGATGTTGTCATGTTGTAGTGTGTTGTTAGGCAAGTATATTAGTTTAGTCAATTGCATGTTGTGTTGGATTGATTGTTTGTTTGTTTGTCTGTTATATATGTTAACATATCATGTTGTGAGTTGAGAACGGTCCAATGGTGTGCTAAAGGCCAAGATACTCGGGCGAATAAGCTTTATACTGAAGGCCAAAGGGGTTGACCATCTTTATGTTGAAGGCCAAGGGAGTGGACCAACTTCGTGTTGAAGGCCATTATCTGTATGCATTGTATATGTATTGTGATATATGGTATTTTAGAAAATCATTAATCTTTGGCTTACAGTTGCAGATTAAATGTTTTCAGGTATTTCTTCATATCGGGGGGAGGGCAACTCTTAACTATACACGCGATGATTTGCCTTATGAATGAATGAATGTTTTGAATGGAATATTACCTTTATAAATGAAAATTTGGTTTGAAAAATAGAATGTTACAAGTTGGTATCTATGTAACGCCCGCATATTCAGGCTAGACATTTAATAAATAATAGATAATATTATCTAAAGATGTGGTAGTTATAATGACTATCTTGTGGATATAAGGAGCACTTAAATCCAAATTCGTAGGAAGAAGTTATACTTATTTGAAGTTTCACGATTAAACCAACACGGCTATGTGCGTTGTAAATAGTGAGTCGGAGATAGGTTGCTTATTAGCCTAAATAATCTAAACGAAAGTCCTACTAATCGTAAAAGAAAGAACGTGCATATAAAGAATGTCCAAATCCGACTTTATATGTTGGAGTTATGATTTTTCAAAGTTTTAGCACGACAGTGTACGACATAGAAACCGAAAGTAAAATCGGTTGATTGTTAGTCAAAACAATCTAAGCAAGAATCGAAGATCTCGTGAATAGGAGTTCGTCGATGTAAAGACAGTTGAGAACGGATTTTGTACAAAAGAGTTATGATTTTTATATGAACAACACTCTAAGCATGTTAAAAATATAACTTTAAAAATAAATTGAGAATTAGCCGACGGATTCTAAACAAAAGTCGCAGTGCTAGTCAATAGCTACACGTGGATATAAAAAATGTCAAAAACGGAGCTCGTATGAGGGAGATATGATTTTTCGAAAAATTGAAAATTCGGGCGACAGGCAAGGCGCGCGACACGAAAAAAGCATGTGGCGCACACCTTCTAGAAGGGCGACACGTGTCACACCCCCCAAACCAGAACGGTGGAAACGTTTGGGGGTGGATGACTTTCATGTACAGTATCATAACAATTGAGTAATAGCGATCAAATCATTACAACCATTGTATTGAATATTTAACAAGTTACATTGTGCTCAAAATATTGTTTACATAATATCAAGTGCATATGACAAAAATGAATAACGTGATGCGACAACGTCCCATCCACCAAAAACTCTTGTGGTTACCTGTTTACTTGCTTCTTGAGAATACAAGTGATTTTGAAAGTGTCAACAATTAAGTTGGTGAGTTCATAAACGTTTTATATGAAAAGGATTTTGTAACTGTTTCGTGTAAAATGACAGTGTATACTACCATAAAATCCAATATTTTCTTTAAAAATGAGTTGCAAGTCTTAATTCAAAGACTAAAAATGTAAATAATGTTGTACTGGAAAACAGTGTTATGAAGTTTTATCTTTATATAAAACTACTTGAATGTATGTTATCACGTAAACCAAATGTTTTGTTAATACCCTATGTGAGTTATTATAACCATATTGATGCGACCTGATGGCCTGCTACGACGTTCTTCAGGCTTCAGAACTGTTTACGACATTTGTCACCCTAGACTGACCTAGTCTAACTGTAGCTAACAGCTGAGGTGCGGGGTTGTCAATCCCGTATAGATCTATACACAAGTGTCATGCTCTCCCTCCAAGAGACTCTGGTTATAATGTAGGACTTAATGTGTACTCTGGTAGGTACGGTGAAGTTGAATGTCTCACAACCAGTATCAATCAATTTACATGAACTGAAAACTCCTTGTTCTTGTAAATGCAAGTATTACTCTTCCATAGTAGTTACATAGTGTAAAAATAATAATTATACCTTTAAATAATTATATGTTTCGTCCGAAAAGATAAAGTAGTATTTGTGACCCATAAACTATACCAATTATAGTTTATTATGAATGTTTTGTTAAGTCCATTTATATAATCAAATATATAAATACATATAAGTTATCATTTCTAGATGTTTTAAAAGATTATAACATATAATTTTACATCCAAACACAAGTATAAAAACATTTAGTATGATGAAGACAATTTCTAGTTTTCGACTTTTTTGTCCATGTTTTTAGAAAAATTATAGAAAAATCATCGTAAGTTGAAATCTAGATGCGTAAACTCTCAGAGCTTATAAAATAAGTCTACTTTGTCCATAATATTTTCCCTGACCTTAAGTGGTTCCTAACCAGAGTGAAAACGTTCATTTTTACAGACTGGTTCGAAAACGTTCTGAAATGATAGGCAGTTTTGTAAAAATCACCATAAATTGTAGAAAAATCATATGAATATGTGCGAGTAGTCCTTAAAAAGCTATAGACCTGAACTATTTGCATATTGATCAGTTTTGAAATATATGAAGTTTAAGTAGGGTAAAACAGTCGGTGAACAGACCACGACTTTTCTATAGAAAGCTGATTTTTAAGCTTAGTATGTTTTAGTGACATAACTTGTATTTTTAGTTTGCAAAGCCTTTAGATCATCCAAATAAGATTTGTTTACTTGTATTCCCCCCCTAAAAACTTGGAAAAACTCGAAAATGAAGGGGTATGAACTCACCTTGAGTGGATTTCTTAGTGGATAAAGGGATGAAGATGAAGATCCTCAAGCTTAGAACACTTGAAGATGGTTGAAGAACACTTGAAGATGGTATTACCCTATGGATAATAACACATATAAATGTGTGTAAATGTAACAAAACTAGTATGAATGTGTGTAAAAACACTAGATCTATGGAGGAAAGCTTACCAAAATTTAAAGAACCAATTTGTGGAGAATCAACCTTGAGAAAAATGGAGTGTTCTTAAGAGAAATTGAGAGAATGAAGAAGATGAAGATGGTGAAATGAGTGGGGGGGAGGAAGGGTGGTGGGGTGGGGTGATGGGATGTTTGCTTGTATATTTAGGGAATAAAAACATGATTTGTATGGTTACTTGTTGGATAAAAGGTGGTAAAGTTAGAGCATCTTATCATAGGGTCAACCCCTATTCTTTTTCTCTCCAACCGAGGTCTCCTACACCCTACCGATAATCTAGGTTCTCGGTCCAAAGCCTTACCGAGATCGTATGGGGTCTTCGGTCCAATGCCACCGAGATTCTAGGGATTTCGGTATAATGATCCACCGAGATCCTAGGGTCCTTGGTCCCAAGGGACTCCTCGGTCTTGGGGTCCTCGACCTAGAGAGGGTTCCCGGTTTTGAGCATGATTTTGGTTCTAGGCTTAAAACACTTCAAATGCAAATGAAATTTTCGAAATTTTTGGTCTATTTTATTGACTTTTCAAGTGTTTATTACAACAAGGTTGTGATGTGGTTTTACATTATACATAGATACACCTTAGACCTTGCTTGATCCAAAATTTTCTAGTTGTCACATCATCCCCTCGTTAGAAGGAATTTCGTATCGAAATTAGTTTTAGAGTAGGTACTCATGAACTGGGGAAAAAATGTGGGTACTTCTGTTTCATTGATCTTCGCGCTCCCAAGTGAATTCTGGTCCTCGCTTGGCGATCTAGCG